TGGTCGGCTTTGTTTAGAACTCTTATTACATTATCTGAAAACACCAGTAAGAACCAAATGCATACCATTGATTTTCCTCCAATGAATCATTCTTGAAAAAGTTAATTTTCTATGGTTATTCCAGGTTTCCAGATTTTTTTCAATCTGTGCCTTCTCTGACGAACCTAAATATCTTATGATTGCTCCCTAAACTTCTGATATAGCTTCTGGGAGAGGATTTCCCCAAACTATTTAGAAAGCTAGTACCTTCTGTGTATTACCAAGAAACAAGAAGATATATAAAACTCTGTTGTTTTGTAGTCTATGTTACAAAAAAAATGTAATGGCTTTTAATATTTGTTTTCCAAACATAAATATGTATATTATAACTGATACGCTTTTTCAATCCCTCTCTTCTTGAATTTCTTATAGACACCTCCCAATTGCCCAGGATCCAGCCAGTTCACCATTTAAAAATTATTACTCTAGACTACATATTCCTGTTGAGGAGGTTTTCACCTTTAAATCACTATAAGTATTGCTCCAATAAATATTCTTTTAAATATGCTCATAGGTCAGAGGATCAGCCTCTCAGAGTAGGGTTTTCTTCAATCAAGGCATATTAGTATCTGTCCATCTCTGCTAGAACTTCCAACCACACAGATTCTTAAAACAAGATTGAGACTTCTGTTCTTAAATCACTCCAGCCAAGAGGAAAGCTTACCTTATATACCACAATGTTGTTCTTGTCTCTTTCAGTTAACTGTCTGTAAATCAAAAGACAAAAGTATAATTCTTTAATCAAAAATGTATAATGATCCTAAGACTGCATTTTTTAAATTGCTGGTCCAGACCCATTAGGAAGTCATGAAATCATTTTAGAGAGTCACTATCTGGATCGTTTTAATGAAACAGAATAAAGAGGATAGAAAATCTCAGGGAGTATCACATATAGTAAAAGTAGGATTGTTTCACAAAACTTTGGGTTTAGTTACAGATCTATAAACATGTGTTTATAAGTACATGTGTACAGGGTCATATCATAAACTATATTTCTTACTATGAGTCAGTCAAAAAATTTGAAAAACATACTACATAAGGTTTCTGAGGAAAACACTGGCCTTAGCAATAGTGATTGATCTTGAGGAAGGTCTACAGTGAAGGGTTGTGTGTCAATTTTGCATTCTCCTTTGTGTGATGTGCCAGTCTTCTCATTGCAAGCTGGGGACTTGCTTTCCCATCTAACCGGAGAGCACACCTGATGTTAGTGAGGCATGTGGGCAGTGTGGGTAGAATATAGGCCCTGCCTCTTCAAGAACCACACACCCCCACCCCGGTCCACAGCCTCAGCAAAATCACTAACATATACACACTCTCCTCTCCACCCCTAGCCCCACCCCACCCAGGTTGAATACCCTCATAAGGTTGCATGGACCTAATATGGAAAAGAACATGAGCATTCTAAATGGTTAAGACTACATACTCTAAACACACTCATGAACAGATAGAGAAATGAAGCTCAAAGCAGGAAAGCAACGTGTTCTTCGTCACAGAACAGTAGATCCAGAACTAAAACAAGTAACTAGATCTCCAACCCTAGGACTTTTTATATATATATATATAAAAATCTTTTTGTATATACAAAAATTAGAAAACAAACCAACAAAAAGATTTTTTAAAATGCATTCTATAAAAATTAGATCATAACTTAAGCATTTTTGTACCTTGCTTTTTTCATTAGTATGTTCCTATATTTTGAACACCTTTCTATGTCAATAAATATATCTTTACTTCAATATTTTTTATACCGTTCAGTCTTCCATTGTACCATAATTTAGCCATTCCCCTATTTCCAATATTTGTTTGCAATTGGGGAAAAAAAGGAATTTTTAAGTTACAATTTCTTCTTACTTATCCACTGGGGAATGAACACCTTAAACAATTTCCTGAATTTGATCATCAGATATTTCCTTAACAAATCTCTTTTGCCACCACCCTGTAAAAGACAGTTACTTATTCAAAGTGAATATTCCTTAGCTATATACTTTAATTTTACAAACAGACTTTACAAATGGGGATAATGGAGCTTTTCTTTCTCACTAGTTTTTAAATTAAAAAATACAGAGTAGGGATTTTTGGTAACAGTTGATGGCAGGGCAAGCACCCAGGCAAGGTAGGAATTTGTACCACTGTGGTGCATATAAGAGTTGTTTCTGGAAAGAAGATGTAGCTGTCATCAGAAATTATATGTGTTAAGGCTTTATTAAAAAATCAAAAAGACTTCTCCACAATTAATTGAGAAATGTTTATTAGGTGTCTGTTCTCTTCCAGGCACATTACGAGGACATGGAGATAGACACTGTGCAGGGTGAAAACAATCTAATAGAGGAAACTGACATTGATCAAATAATCATCCTATCGAATATGTAATGACAAAGATAAGTTGTCTAGAGCAGAAGAGCATGGTGCTATGAGCCCTTGGACCTTGACTAGAGATCAGTGGTGACTTCCCCGAGAAAGTGATTCTTGGGCTGAGCTCTGACAGATGAATAGGTACTAGTCATATGGGAAGGAATGTTCAGAGTTCTCTAAAAATAGAGGGAGCATGGCAAACAATGACTGAAAGAGGGCCAGTGTGGTTGGAACACAGAGTAAGGAAGGGTGGCCAGACCAAGCAGAGCTTCACAAGCCATGGTGCAGAGCCTGATTTGGAGGACTTTACCTTGAAAGCTATAGAAAGCCATTGAAAAGTTTTAAGCAGGGGATAACATAACACCTGAATATTCCAGAGACATCTTTAATTCAACATGTACAAAATCCAATTTCATTGTCCCTCTTTTTTATTCCCCACTTTCTATAAATGGCAATACTGTTCTTCTAGCCAGTTGATTTAAAACTGCCCTCTCAAGAAGTCAGACAGAAAAGACTGAATGAAATACTGTATGATCTCGCTTATGTGTGGAATCTAAAGTCATCGAACTTATAGAAACATCCAGGGGTTTAGGGGTGGGGGAAATTGGGAGATGTTGGTCAAAGGGTAGAAACATTTAGTTTAAGATGAATAAGTTCCGGGATCTAATGTACAGCGTGGTGACTATAGTTAACAATATTGTGTTGTATACTTGAAAGTTGCTGTAAGAGTAGAGCTTTAATGTTCTCACCATAACAACATAATGATGTGAGGTAAAGGATGTGCTAACCAACTTTATCGAGATAAGCATTTTGCAAAATATACATGTATCAAATCATCACATTGTACACCTTAAACTTACACAATGTTATATGTTATTTATACCTCAATAAACCTGGGAAATAAATATACAACTGCTCTCTGTCCTTTTACCCTTGATCAGTTATCATTTTATTTCTAAATTTCTCTAATTCTATTTTCATGGTATCAGATAGATTCAGTCAGTATTTTTTTTTTGCCATTTCAGTTTAAACCCTCTACCTCTTACCTGGACTATTATGGTAGCTTTCTAATTGGCCCTAACCTCTCCTTCTACCCCTTATCACCTTTTTCCCAAAACAAATAGAGAGTAAATTCCTACCCATCATTCAAGATCCACTTTGACTCCCAATAGTGTGGTCTCATCTTCCTTTAGGCACTTCCAGCACTTTGTCTTACTCTTCTTTGAGTTCTGATATTAAGTAGCTTCAGTGGTGAGACTGTTTTCCTGTCTTCTATTTCCTATGAGTGGTTAGTGCCTTGCACATAGTATCGTTCAATAAGCCTAGATTATAATGGATTGAAAGAATGGCTAAAATGGACTTTCTGCTCCACTTTACTTAGAACAAGCATTCCCCAGCTGAATTCCACTAATACCCCTTAGGCTAGGAAATAGCAGAGAGCTTTACAGTGTGCCATGTCATGCCGTCACTTTCTAATGCTGTACCCTTTTACTGCAGAAGAAGAGCAAGAATGATGTTACTTTGTAAAGCATATGGACTTTTCTTTCACAGTTCAGAAAATCAAAGCAGAAAATGTGGGAGTGACATTAATGAAGGCTTAGAAGTATAGGAAGCACCTTAGAGTTTGTAATGGGCCACTTATCTCTTGTTGGGTCTGTTGATAGAAAAACAGACCTATAAAGAGGCATAGTTACTAATTAGAGGGGCAAAAGAGTGTTTGTGAACTTGACCACATGAATAGGGTGATAGTTTCCTGATTGCCCATTCAGGAGTCCTCTAAAAATAGGAGTTCATTCACTCTGACTCAAAAAGTGGGCATTTGATGTGGATTATCGTGGCTGCATTGTGTGCAGCGCTTACTGGAGGAGCTTTACTTCAGTCAGAAGTCTGAAATGTGTTGCTGCAGTCTTGCTTTAAACCTTGGTCATCTTGTGTGGCAGAAGAGAGACTACCTCAAAGTAGCAGAGGTCTTTGAACTCTGGACCTAATTGGCTTTGGGACAGGAAGGAACACAGAGATACCAATTCACATTTGCAGACTGCTTTCCAGTCTCTAAGCACTGTTAAACCCATTTTCTTATTTTTATTCTTTATTTTTTAAATTTATCTATTTATTATGGTGACATTGGTTAACAAAATCCAATAAGTTTCAGCTGTACACTTTAACAGTAAGGCATATATATATTTACACTGTGTGTTCACCTCCCATAGTTAGATTTCTTTCTGTCACCACATATTTGACCCCCTTTACTCCATCTACCTCCCCTGCCTCCTCCCTCCCCTCTGGTAACCACTAGTCTATAGTCCATGTCCATGAGTCTCTGTTTTAAACCCATTTTCGAATGTTATCTTCATGATGGCCCTGTGAAGTGCACTAGGAAGATAGCCCTTATTTCAGAGAGGGGAAATCTAAAGCCACAGGGCCAATCAGAAGTACAACCGATGTCTTCTGACTCTTTAACAGTTGCTCTCCCCACTCCACCACTAATGAATTCCAGAATGGAAGAAACTATTTAATAGCACTTGCCACTTAGGTGAATGCTTGAAGCTGATTGGCTCAACATGGTCAGCCATTGGCTGAGTCTGGGCCCCTCTGCTTTTTGTCCACAGAGCCATGGGGGTGTTGATGTCCAAGCGGCAGACAGTGGAGCAGGTACAGAAGGTAAGCCTGGCTGTGTCTGCCTTCAAGGATGGGCTGCGGGACAGGCCTTCCATCCGACGTACAGGTGAGCTTCCAGGGTCCCGCCGTGGGACTGTAGAGGGCTCTGTCCAGGAAGTGCAGGAGGAGAAAGAAACAGAGGCAAGCATTCCAATGCTCCAAGAAGAGAGCAGCATCTACCGTGTAGCCTGGGAGAGGCTCCGAGATGGGCGTGGAGTGGAGCCTGAGGAGTTTGACAGGACCAATCGTTTCACACCTCCTGCCTTCATTCGCCCCACCCGGAAGCTGGATGACGACAAGCCTCCAGATATCTGCTTGGAACCCAGAGAGCCTGTGAGTGTCCAGTTAGGGCAGATATCCTCCAGTCTTAGACCTTCTGAGGACTGGGGAGCAGGACAGGGAGGCCTGGGTGTGATTGAAGTGGGATCCAAAACCAGAAAGATGGAGTTGACTCCAGAACAATTGAGTTTCTTCCACAAGAATAAAAATGTCAGTTTCAGCCTAGAGCAGTCTTAGTGAAAGACTTGAGGCAATGAGTAACAAGGAATGACACCATGGCAGGTCTTCTGCCAGCCCTCCCACCTAAGGGATAGTACTACCCCTTGTAGGGGGCATTTGGAAATTTGTGGGAGTAGGGGGAGTTTGGGAATGTCACAGTAACTGTGGGAGTTGCTGGTATTTGCTACTGGTATTTGGTGCCAAGAAAGCCAGGATGCTAAGTGTCCTGCAATTCTTGGGACAATCTCTCACAACAGATGAATCTTTCTAAAAATGCTAGTAGCATTCCTGTTCAGAAACATGAGGACTGAGCAGCTGGAAGAGCCTGCTAGTTCTTGCCTTCCAGAGAGAAAGTGCTAGGGCCTTAACACTGGCTTCACTTGGAGTTTCTCTCTTGGCTGCTCCAGAGAAACTCAGCCCCATATGGGTAGCTTTGTGCTTGGTGGTCGAAGATCTTGCTGCCTGTGCTTATACATTCCTGTTCATTCCTGCCATCTTTCCCCAGGTTGTCAACGATGAAATGTGTGATGTCTGTGAGGTCTGGACAGCCGAGAGCCTCTTCCCATGCAGGGTCTGCACCAGGGTTTTCCATGATGGCTGCCTGCGCCGCATGGGCTATATCCAAGGGGACAGTGGAGCAGAGGTGATCGAGATGGCCCACACGGAAACAGGCTGGAGCTGCCACTACTGTGTGAGCCTGGATTCCAGGGACGGAGGGCTGCTGCACTACAGGGGACTTGGCACTTTTCCTGGAGGCCCAGTCTTGGAACACTGGTTTCTAGGCAGTGACCTGAAGAGTTTTCCAATAGTAGATACAAGGGTCCTAGAGCTAGGAGGAGCTTTCTTTACCTCAGTACTACTGACATTTTGGGCATAGTAATTCTTTGTTATGGGGGCTGTATGCATTGTAGGATGTTTAGCAGCATCCCTGGCCTCTACCCCATTAGATGTCAGTGGCATCCATCCCCTGTTGTGACAACCAAAAATGTCTCCAGATATTACCAAATGTGTCCTGGGGGAGCAAAATCATCCCCATTTGAGAACCACTGAACTAAAGGACTGAATGGATAGGATGAAGCCTAATTACTCAAAAGTAATTCTGCTTGGAGCAGTGCTTTCTCTGATAGTCTGTAGTTGTCATTTGTTGTATTCATCTGAAAAACCAACCTGAAATCATAACCAACTTGCTTTCAGTAGGAGTTGATTCTGTCACAGGAAAATTTCTTACTTCTAAGATCCTCTCTTGGCCTACCACCTAACTCTTAGGAGCATTTGTTCTTCATTTCTGAAGTGATTCAGAACTTTGCAAATTATATATAAATGCCTGTCGTCTTTCAAAAAGACAAAAAGCCAGATTCATATCCATTTTGCAACACACCTGAATAGAATTCAGATCTTCCTTTATTGATCTGCTATCCTATAGATATCTTCATTATAAACTGATTTCAGAGTAACAGGCATCTGCTTCTTCTTCCTACTGCCTAGAACTAGAGATGTACCACTTTCTAACAAATAAGGTACCACTTTCTCTATGGCTTGTCCATAAGATTGAAGTACAGAACAGTATTTCCAGCCACTTGAACATCTTCCCCGGCTGGTATATGCCACAGCAGATCCTGCTTTACAAGTCTTCTCTAGTCACCACCCCTCCAAAAGCCAGCCTTTTCACTCTCAACAACTTTGTAGTGTTCTGCTGATGTGGGCCAGGGTTGAGGGTGTCTCCTTCCTAATCCCCAGGAGTACAGGGATCCCTTCCTGGCTTTCTGTCACATTCGCACCAGCATTATCACCACTCTCTACCAGACTTTTTACGAAGGTTTCTTTCAGGCTCTTCCCCTTTCTTTCCTTCCCTTCACGCCAGGCTTCTTAGAAGGACTTCATCATCTCCTTGTGGCTCATAAACCACCTATACTTTGCTTTCTGCATCCATCATTCTGCTGAACTGGCTCTTCTTAAGATTACCAGTGACCTAATTGTCAAGTCTACTGATCTTTTCTCAGGCATCTTCTTACTTGACCTCTCTGACTATATATGACTTACTATATTGTCCCTTCTTTTTTTTAAGGTTCAAATTTTTTTTATGAGAAATATTATAAAATATGGGAACTAGAGAAGATAGAAAATCAGTAAAATCCAATCATACTTGTATAATCATATACATTACCTCCTACATTGTGCGACTTTCTTTTCTCTCTACCAATTCTCTTCGTGCCTTCTTCTCTGACCATTCTTTATAAGTACTCTTAGTTCATTTCTTGTCCCAGTCCTCAGTGCTGGTGTTCACAGGGTTCTGTTGTTAACACTCTTCCTTTATCACTGTACACTCGCCCTCTCTGGGTAACTTCATCTACTTTAATGGCTACAGCCACCATCTAAACATGAATCATTCTCAAATCTGTGTGTCCAGACCTAAATTTCCTCTGTCTCTTAGACTTATATTCATCTCAATGTCTCATATATACTTCATACTCAACATGCCCCCAAATGAACTTATCTTTCTCCCAAAACCTATTCTCCTTCTATTCCTTATCTCTGTGAGTAGTATACAATCCAGCCACACCCCCAGTCACCAATTTCAACTCATTCTGTTCTTCATCCCTCACATCCAGTAAATCAACAGGTCCTATTGGTTCTTCCTCCTAATATCTCTCAAATCTCTCCCCTCGTCTCCATTCTTATGTCTTAGTTAGCTAGTCATCTTTTCTTATCTGTACTATTACAATAGCCACCTAACAGCCCTCCATGCCTCCAGACTTTGACCCTCTAATCCATTCTCCACACAGCAAAGATCTGACCATGGTACCTCACACTTAAAAACCATTTAGTGATTCCCTTTTGCCCTCAGAATAAAGGCCCAGTTTGAAGGGCTCAATATAGGGCATTTGAGGCACTTACAATGAGGCTTCTGCCTACTTCCCCTCCCTTTTATCATTCCTTCCTACCCTACCCTCCTACACACACACCCACGTGCGTGCACGCACACACACTATACTCCAGCTACGTGAACATCTCACAGTGTTACACACCATTGTGCCCAGCATATACTAAGTGCTCAGTAAGTGTTTATTGAAAGAGTGGTTTGAGTTCTTCATGAAATCCACAAATGAATATTCATGAAATGTCTGCTCCTGTTGCTTGCTGGTATTTTAGGAGGAAAAATAACCTACCAGAAAGAATCTTTGGTATTTTAAAGACCATAAGGACTATAAACAAAATAACATGTCAGTACTCTTTTTGGAATGAAACTTCTATGGCACCACAAAAAAAAAAACTCATTTGGTTTTCAGAACTTTTTCATGATGGCATCTCTTTCGAAACCATTTCGGAGTTATTTAAAGTGATACAACCCACTAGGAGCAGAGTTAGAATTAAACTTTTTTTAAACTAAAATGCTCTGAGCACAGTCTAACACAGCAGCCAAATTCATAAAATGGATAAAGATGAAACTGCTCTGGTAGATGGAGCCAGGGATTAACAACTCTTCCCACTTAACTAGCCTTCTTCTCCCTTGCAGCAGCTTCCTAAGGCACTTCCAAGGAAGCCCTAAGGTATCTCAGAAAATAATTTAAAAACCATTATTTTAATAAAAGGGACTAGGGATGGAGTCAGGATACCTGGATTCTGGGGAAGATTCTTCCCTAGAGTTAGGCAACTCTAAGCAAGTCCTTTCCCTATCTGGGCCCTCAGTCTCCTTGATTGTAAATGAGAAGCTGGGATTAGATCATAGCAGAATTACCTTTCAGTTGAAATACTGTTTCCATTTCTCTTCATCTTTGGCCTTTCTTTCTTCCTGGCCTATGTGGCCACTGACTCAGCAATTTTTATTTATTTATTTATTTTTAGGACAACCTCAACTTGCTATTAACTGAGGAGGAAATGTATAGCCTCACCGAGACCTTTCAGCAGTGTAAAGTCATCCCTGGTAAGGCTGGATGGTGCTGCTGGACGGAGAGGGGCCATGATGATTTTTCCTTCATACTTTCTAGGATGATCCATGAAAGGAGTATTCTGGAATTTGGTGGGTAGGGGATAAATAGGCCTGTTCCCAAGCTGTTGGCCAGCAGGGGCACCCAACCCTGGTCACAGCCTGAGTTATCTTGGCTATGGGAGACAAAAACTCGACCAGAGCTATGGATATGGGGTCTCTGGAGGGTACCCTAGAGGTGAGTAGAGGTGCCCCAGAGGCTGAGGAAGGATTGGGCATGGCTAGCATTTGGTGCCTCCCCACAGATTGCTCCCTGACTCTGGAGGACTTCCTGCGCTACCGCCATCAAGCAGCAAAGCGGGGGGACAGTGACAGAGCTCTAAGCGAGGAACAAGAAGAGCAGGCAGCCCGCCAGTTTGCAGCCCTGGACCCTGAACATCGAGGACACATAGAGTGGCCTGACTTCCTGTCCCATGAGTCCCTCCTACTTCTGCAGCAGTTGCGTCCCCAGGTGAGGGCCAGCTGGGGTTTATGTCCTTGGCATACTGAGTGGCAGAGACCTGGGAAGCATGCTGGGCAGGCTGAGGGAGCACTGGGTACTGTCTGCGCAGGGACTTAGGGAAGGGCTCAGGTTCCATCCAGTGATATGTGACCCAGTGCCTAGTGGAGAAACTGCTCAAGGAAGACTGATTTGCACTGCCCCTCACTGAAAATGTCAGTGCTACCAGAAAGGCTCTAGGCAGCTTCAAAGGGAGGTTGCAGAGGTGGTAATGGAGATAGGATTCTCTATGGCTTTACAGTTTACAAAATACTTTCACCTCCAAGATCTTAAATTGTCTCTTCTTCCCCAGAACTCTCTGTTAAGGCTTCTGACTGTCAAAGAACGAGAGCGAGCCCGAGCCACCTTCCTGGCACAGGGCAACGGGAGCACCATCAGTGAGGCAGAGTGCCGCCATGCCCAGCACTCTTGGTTCCGCAAAAGCCTCCCAGAGACTCCTTCCTGCAGTGTCAGGTCTGCTCCTTACCTATCCCTGCCCCCACTCATGTACACTCCTCTCTTTTCCATGCCAAATGGCCCTAGATATGAAAAGAACTTCCCTATTTCTCCTGCCAACAGCCAGGAGAGGATTCTTCTGTGCATTAGACAGAGGACAGTGACTCCTATTGGCCGAGGCATAGAGCAGCCTCTGCTCCAAACTCCATCCAGAGCCATGAGTTCACCAGAGTTTGGGATGGGCCAGGCTTTTCACTGTCCCACATTTTCTTGTGTCCAACAGTGTCAGCCATGTAGGTCCCATAGCAGACAGCAGCCCAGCCAGCATCAGCAGCAAGAATCAAGACAAGGTCCTGCTGCCCACAGAGCATGAGTCCAGGTGAGTGGGACCTCTTCCTCCAGCTGTCTGTACCCCCAAGTCCCCAACACATACATATAAGAGAGGGCATTGCCCGTTGTCACCCCAAAGTAGCAAGTGTCCACCTGAGAAACTAGGCTCTGGGAATGCACATTTGATCCCATAGCCATAGAGCCAGCCAGCTGGTCTGTCAGCTTGGAAACGCAGCTGCCCATAACCATGTCAGGCACAAGACAGGGCTTCCCTGAGTTTTGTCTGGCTCAAGTTGTGCTGTCACTGGGATCAGGTCTCATGAACCTCTGGGCTCTGCAACCAGCCTCACAAACCTGTTCTTTGATTCCACTCCAGATTTGTGGACTGGCCTGCCTTCCTGCGGGAGAATGTCATCTACATCTTGGCTGCTCGCCCCAACAGCGCAGCCATTCACCTGAAACCCCCAGGATAGCATGGAGCAGAGAAGCTCGGGAACAGTGGCATTCTCTCCCTTTCCTTTCTCCCTTTCCCCCACCAACCTCCGGTACTGAGACTTAAGAGGATAGAGCACTCCAGCATCTCAATTTGTCACTAAGCTTTATGGCACTGAAATTACCATTCCCCTCACAACAGAGGCAGTAAATGCATCACCACAGGGAGAAGCCCTGGGAGCTGTGGCAGCACCCACTCCTGGACACACACACACATATGCACACACACATCCCTTTCCCCCACCAACCTCCGGTACTGAGACTTAAGAGGATAGAGCACTCCAGCATCTCAATTTGTCACTAAGCTTTATGGCACTGAAATTACCATTCCCCTCACAACAGAGGCAGTAAATGCATCACCACAGGGAGAAGCCCTGGGAGCTGTGGCAGCACCAACTCCTAGACACACACACACACATGCACACACACACACACATACTTTCACATAGCTGGGACCCACCACTACACACATATATGTGTGCACACGCATACACTAACACACACACACACACACACACACACCTGCTGTGCATGCCTTCAGACATCTGTTTCTTTCACATAGCTGGGACCCACCACTACACACATATATGCGTGCACACGCACACACTAACATACACACACACACCTGCTGTGCATGCCTTCAGACACCTCTTTCTTGTCTGAAAAAGGACCAAAGTTCCTTTGTGAAGCCCCTGGTATAGATGAACAGATCTCTACTTACCCTTTCTATTGGCCAGTTCTGATCCCAATAGATAAGACTCTAGCCTGATTTTTAATAAGGGGGCATATCAGACTCACATATTTTCCTGGAGATGCTGACAGGCTCCCTTTTTCCCCATAGAAAATCTCTTCTATGGTGAGCCACTGTTCTGGTAGGTGCGTGCTATGTCCCTCAGGTGTATTGGGGTACAAAAATGGTTGAAAACCACCACTGCACTTCAACCCATTATTTAAATTCCAATTCCTGGTAACAGAAGGCAACTAGTCAGTAGAGTCCTAATTAGAAAAGAGAGAGGCAGCACCTCTCAGGGACCCAGAATTCTAGGAACCTCTCAGCCAGGTCATTCAAGTTCAAAAGTCTTTAGCAGAACAGTTGAAAACCCAGGTGAGCCATCCTAGCCCCTGTTTTTCAGATGCAATCTCCTGGCCCAGAACCCAAGGGGCCTGAATGGAACAAGTATGGTGGCAGGAGTCACAGCCCTCTGTGTTAGATGCTTCACCCAAGTCTGCTACCACAGAGACCTAAAGCCTAAGCTCCAATGAGGACAAGGTCTGAATGGAAGAAAAGAAGAAAAGGCTTATACTTTTTCATCCTTCCAGCTCAAACTCAGCTGTAGACCTAGAAAAGTGTGCCATTGTTTGGAGAACAGACCCTGTCTCCCACAGCCCAAGAAAGAGCAGCTCCACGGGAGCCCTGAGCGGGAACTCCTTTCATCCACCCTGACAATGAGGATAAGAGGCTGGAGCTAAGAAGAGGATTTGCATCTCAGCTCTCTTAAGCAGATGAAGTCCCAGCAAAACTCACAGGAGGCAGTTTTCCCTTCTCCCCATCATTGAGATTTGGCCTGAGTTGCTACTTCTCCTACTGCTCACTACATTTTCTTCTCCACCAGGCTAGGGCTGAGCCTGGTATGGGAGGATTTTGGGGGCAAGCAGAGGCTTCCACCAGGCTGCCAAGCCTGGCTTCCAAAACCCAGCTATCCTTTCTAAGTTCTCATCAGGTTGTCAAGTCAGTGCATGTTGTGGGTCAGCCCTAGCCCTTGGGCTCAGGTTTCTGTTTCCAACCTAATGACAGGTTTAGCCAGATCTGACTACCAAGAGTTATTTGAGAGGGTGTTGGCTCAATCACACAAAAGCTAACATATCCCCATTGCTCAAGTAACTTTTACTAAATTGTTTAGAGAAGAAACAGCATACAGCTCAGTGTCAAAATGCTCAGAGGAGAGGTACAACCAGGTGTGTGGTGTATGGTCTCCTCCTGTAGAAACTGCCTGACCTAGAAGCAGAGTGAGAAGCTTCTGGGGTTGGATTTTTTAGGACTGAAATGAAGCAGACAGAAGACAAATCTGGGTTCATGTGTATATGACCCTGAACATTTCAAAGCTCACAGCTTTTTGTAAATGTTCCTTAGCCATACTCCCGAGACTGATCAGTAGGAGGGGCTGTTATTTAGTCCAGTTGAAAAAAAAAAAGAAAGAAAGCTCATGACTCTTGGGCCCAAGGACTGCATCTGAAGCAGCTAGGCCTGGAGTTTTGCACTGAGAAGATTAAAGCACATTAAGCACAAGGCCTTTCGCTTACTCTTCCGGCAAGTCACTTTCTATGCCAATGGCTTTGGGTATTTTACGTAAAGACAAGCTCTGGGCTTTGAGAGCTGAACAGCTTTTTTTCTCATCAGTCACAGTCACAGCATCATCATCAGTCACAGTGATGGGAAGGCCACCTTCTTGTTCCCTGACCTTCACAGATCAAGGTGATGCTTACCTCTCTGGAGTTGCAGCTTCTAGATTTCTGTGGGTGAGTAGTGAAAGACCATGGGCCAGACCAGGCTGGCTAGAACCCAGAGCCTGGCAAAGCAGGCCCTAGAGTTCTTCCACAACAAGATTGGACATATTTGGGATCACCTCTCTCCCTATTCTAAGCACAGCGAGCTTCCTTGATAGGGGTGTGCTGCAGAGGGCCTAGTGGACACTGCCCCAACAAACTTTAGAGTCTCTAGTCCACAAGAATCCTAGGAAGAAGAAAAGCATGGTGAAGCAACCAGCTCCTTCTTTGTAGGCATCTAGCTTTTTACCAAAGGAGAGGTTCCATTGCTCCCCCAGTCCAGGGTTGTGGAAGCCCTACTCCACCCCCATGTCCAGGATCTCCCTTTGCAGTGTCCTAATTCATGGAGCCTTCCTGCAGTATGAATGGAGATGTTCAAACTCTTATAAACCTAGTGAACCCCATTCCCTTTCTTTTTCAAGCCCTTCCATCACTGTGTCTGAAATTCTGCCAAGCACAAAAATTAGTGTCTGACTCTAATAAGAATATGAGAAAATGTTTCAGTCTTTCCTTCTTGGCAGCCTAAAACTGCGATCAGTGCTTTTGCTAAGCACCACCCAACCACACCCCCAACCAAGGGAGACTGGGGCTACATACGTACTCTGAAGATCATCTGCCCTAAGCCTGTTTTTCACCCAGCAGTCCTCTTCCCCATGCTCAGATTTAAAGACAAAGGCATCTGGATGACAGTGGAGTTGCAGCAATCGAGGCAGCTGAGGCAGTAGCTACGGCCACATAACCTCTCTAAATCTGCTCTGTGGCTTCCTTTCCTGAGACCAGCCTTCCTCAACAGATGCAGGCTCTGCACTTTTGAGCAATGGACCCTTTGGATCCCAGGGATGGAGCTGTTCCCTCATTCCTAGGTACTGACCTACTCTCAAGTGCTCTTTTACCTTTGGGGACAGCCACAGCCAAAGCCATGAGCACATTGCTTCTTCCTGCCCTCAGCCCAAGTGACTGGGGATGCAGAGCTGTCACTGGCCTTTCTGGTCTTGGTGCTCCCTATAGGATGTCACCCAGACCTTGTTTGAGTGGCCAAATCTGGGGGTTCCCCCATTCTTATTACTAATATGGGAAGCACATAATCG